AATGGTTGCATCCAATATGTAGGCTATTCTTCCATATAAACTTGCAGAAGATTTGCAAAATAAAAGGAGTAGAAGATAATGGGGAGGAACGGCATTCTTTCCCAGACTGTCAACCATAATCTTCAACCATGACAGTACAGTATTAGCCATGAAGGCTGGGGCAGATGAGAGTTATAATCTAACACATATGTAGAGTACTAGCATTGGGGAATGCTGAGTTACAGGATATACAGCCTGCACAAGCACAAGCTGAGAAGAACCCAAAAATAAAGCAAGTATAACCAGATTTATCAAATAGTATTAAAGCAGATAAACAAGACAAAAGTAAACTTGGGGAAAGAACAAACAGAACATAGAAAATCCCTTGGTTATTTATTACAAAAATGTTATTAAAGGACAAAGAATAATGGGAGAAATACAGTCCCTTTCTGTCAACATAAGCGATTCAAGCACAGCAATGAAATGAAGAAAAATGTTCGCTAAATTGTGTTTAAAAAAAATTAATCCTGGGTCCTTCTATCTTTCTCTCTTCATCTCTATGTGTCTTTAACTAAGGCACTGTGTGCATGCATAGTCACATAGACTTAAACAGTACCAAATGAAATATATTAAAAGAGTGATATTATATAGATCCACTCCTATTTGCGGAGGAGGAAGAGGAAGGCAAGACTTGTATATTTTACCAGCACTAAAACCAGCTTCAAGGTAATTTAACTTGGAATCTTAGTTCCTTTTAAAACTTGAACTAAGCTAATGGCAATATATGTATCCAGAGGACCTGTCTATCCCCTTCATTATTCTTGTTTTTGTTGTTCGTAGAACTTTTCTGGAGGGGGGTGTTGTTTAACTCAGTGAATTTGACAGATGTCATATTGATAAAGTTGCATTCTTAAGCCAATCACCCAGAAGATTAGTCTGGATAAGACAAGAGAAAGCAACAGTGGCACTTCTGAAATTTTGGAAATAATAGTTGAAGTTGTTGGGAATGGAGCCATCTATAAGCTGAATAAACAAATAAATAAACAGTGGAAAGTAGACCTATTTTTGCACAATAAGGGAACGATTACCGGTAGATCCTTTTCCCTTTAAATGTCATTCTTCTTCCTCCCAAGTAAAGGCACTAAATGTTCAATTAATCAGTGGAAGGACTTGCCTCCAGATGATTTGGGTGCTCCAACACTGGAGATTTATAAGAAGAGACTGAACAACCATTTGTCTGAAATAATAAAAAGTTTCCTGCTTGAGCAGAGGGTTGGACTAGAACAGGGGTGTCAAACTCAATTTCATTGAGGGCCACATCAGCACTGCGGTTGCCCTCGGGGGGCTGGGTGGATGTGGCCTACTGGGTGGGCGTGGATGGAGTGGGTATGGCCTACTGGGTGGGCATGGCCAGCTCTACATCGTTTGCATCAAGGGTGCCTGTGGGAGCCTGGGCAGGAGTGGGACAGATCTGAGGGTCTCTGGCAGAAGGGAGTGAGACTGGGGCAAGCGCCAAGGCATGGTCCATTTCTTCATTCCTCACAAAGGGTGACACCTCCCCAGCATGCACCCAGGGAGTGGGGCCAACACAGCAGGGGCCGCTTCCTCGCTGTTTCTAGACGGCTTTGTGGAGCTAAGACTGAATGCGTTTCAGCATAGATGGCCACCACAAAATTGTACATTGGCTCCCGGCTGGCCTGGGCCAGGGCCAAGGCAGTGGGGGCCGTTCCCTCACTGTTTCCAGGATGGCTTCGCGGGCCACATGAAACCACTTCGCAGGCTGCATCCGGCCCCCGGGCCTTGTGTTTGACATGTCTGGACTAGAAGATCTCCAAGGTGCCTTCCAACTCTGTTATTCTGTTATTCCTGTTCAAGTTGCAGACAGAGGGTCAACATCCTCCTCAAAAGGTAAACGCAGATAGTTATTCCATCTCAGAATTGGGACCCTCACTTGGGATCAGATAAACTCTATGTTCCTTTAGCTCCTTTGCTGCATTGGGTGCTCCATGGCTTTCTATGAAGCTCATGTTTGCTCAACCAACTTTTGTACCCATTTTTCTTTCATCGGTGCTGAAGAATTATAATCATGCTAATCCACTCCAGATACCACACCACCTTCTGGGATCTTCTTAGCCATTAAAAAAAAAAAAGTCCCTGCTGGGATTTGTCCTCCAAGCTTTCACTCCCATGATCACCTTGTCCCTTTATTCCCCTATCTCCCACCACTTTTGAACTTGGTTCTATGATTTGGACTCCCAAAATCCACTGGCAGCAGGGAGCTGGCAAAGAATCATCCATCAACCAGGAGCTCATGCAAGCACACAGGCTCAGCACTTGAATGGGGCACAGGTCAACTCAGAGGCTAACAAATTGTTCCATTGCCAGTATGAGGTATGATTGATGGCCGGGAATAGGAGGCCAGAGGAGAAGCAACCTTCAGTCAAATATGCATGCCTTCCGTTTTGATGCTGGTACTAGCACAAACCACCTTTCACAGCCTCTGCATGACCTCTTCCTCTCTCCCAGTTTTACAGGACATCCATCAAGCACTTGCCCCAAGACTGACCTTTCTTTATAGAGGACTTTATCTATCTGCCCCATTCCCTATTCCCCTTTCCCCATTCCTCCCCCCCCCAAAAAAAAAACCTCAGGATTTTTACTACTAAAGGCCAAGAGATGTTGCATTCTCTTTTAAGGGCTGCCCAGTGAATGCCAGCTTCATTAGAAAGATTTCTAGAAGGATTCAGAGATGCAACCAACAGGTTAAGGGTTTAAGTAGATAAACACATAGGTACATATCTCTCCAAACCCTTTCCCTGACAATTTACACAGCTGCTTCCAATTATGGCTTTGATGTTCTCCACCTCTGTTTTCCTAGCTGATGGCTTCTCCACATGGTTTTTGAGGTCAGAATGGGTGAACTTCAAAAGCTTGGGAAGTCAGGTTCAGAGAAGTGACCAGAAGTTCATGAGTTTCTCTCTCTTCTTTAAAAAAAAAAAAAAAATCAGGAGAATGAAAACTCAGGCAAAGTCACTGATTTTCATAGCTTGAGTTGGGATATAACAGGGGTCTTCAAGCTTGACCCTTTTATGACTTGTGGACTTCAACTCCCAGAATTCCTCAGCCAGGCACGTTGGCTGAGGAATTCTGGGAGTTGAAGTCCACGAGTCATAAAAGGGCCAAGTCTGAAGACCCCTGGGATATAACATGAAATGGAGTGGAAGGCTGTTCATCCTGTAAATAATTAACTACTTTTCATTCTACTCTTTTTCTTTTTTTTTCTCATGTAGGCAGTGCAGTCTAAATTGAGTTGGAATCAATATGACATCTCTTCCTCCATTTGTAAAAATGTGAGAACATCTACGTTTTATTCGACACACACCATTCTGAAATACACACCTTTTCCTTCATCTTCTATGCAATTTCACTACACACACATACTTCATAGAATACATAATTTTTCATTCAACTGAATAGATGATCCTATGAAATCCCCATGATACACTTTTTATAATACAACTTTCCCTAACACATGATCTTGTATAGGCGTGCAACACTTCCTCAAATATATACAGTTTTCTTTTCCTTTTTAGGGAGAAGACAAATATTTCAAATATTATTCATAACCTTTGTATTATATGAGACTCTACTTTGGTGGAAACATGCTTTTTTATTTATGTTTTTTTTCTTTTATACCCCTTACTGAGTGACATGCCCGTTTTATATATAAATTGTCTTTTAACACTTTTCAGTGCAACACGTGAACATTCTATGTGACACAAACAATTAAGAAATGCTTGATTATTTCCTGCCTTGGGAAAAGTATTAAGTTAATACAGAGAGATGATTAAGTTGATACTTCTCTCCAGGATGTTCCCTGATGTGCTGTTCTCTTGTACCAAAATCTGGATGTTGATCTCTCTAACTCAGTAGAATTTGCACCCAGAGACAGGACTAAGTACATGGTGAAAACCCATTTGCAAAAATCATAGGTGAGCCCAAGACAAAAACTAAAATTCACTGCATTTTCCTTTACACCAAATTAAAATTAGTTAAGCTTATTTTATTATGTTCAATAACCAGGTCATAAAATGAAAAGTAATAAGGAAACAGGAAGAGGAAGAGGAGGAGGACTTCAATCCTAATAAGATTATCAATTCAGGAAAATGTTAACATTCAGATTATTTTTTTAAATAAGAATATGGATCGTTATCCTTATGATTGTTGCAGAACATGTATCTTCAGATAACTTGGGAAAATTGGGAAAATTATTTATCTAACACTGATCCCATTTAGTGATCAATTGTTTGGCTATTGTTGGAATTCAGCTGGCATATTCAGTATTATTTTCAGCCACTCCCTATCCACCCAAATTTAATGTACACTGCTCCCATGGCTCTGTGGGCAGCAGTTGTCTGGTTTTCATTCCATTAACTTCTAATTCATCTTATTTTAAGGATACCTGATTAATCTAAGCAAGAAATCTAACCTTTAGAAAAGATACTGTGCGCTAGAATTAATATTTGGGGAAAACTTGATAGGTGGATAAAAACACCAGATCCAGTCTAAACATCTGGCAGACTGTGCAAGCAACCATAATAATTGGCCCATTGAATGCCATACTAAAGCATCTTGGACGGCACTTAGAAAATCTGCACAATGACAAAATTTCCATCTGTCAATTGCAAAAGACCACCCTGCAGTTATTATGGTGATACATTACAACATCCTAGGTTCTTGGGAAGAATTCAATGCATATGATGGCCAACACCAGCTTAAGAACTGGCAGCTATGACTTCAAGTGGTTGTGAACAAATGATAATAATAAGCCATGAAATGCTGCATACATGTTTATCTGCAACTTTCTTAACCTGCAGAGGTTTTGAGTAGAACGCACAAAGTTGTTTAACTAAATTCCCAAAGGAATCTTCTCTTAATGTGAACAGAGTATGTCCTTGAACAAATTCCTATTATAGAATTAGGGTTTCAGGGCAATCAAGCAAGGCTTCATAAAAGTAATATAAGCAGCATAAGCAATTTATATTTAATAATTTTGATACAATAAAAATATTTTTATACAACTCCTTTTGGTATGCAGCCTTTGGAAAAAAAACATGCATGCTTCTTTAAAGATTTTGTGCATTCATAATACTTTTCCATGGATTTGGGGCTCCAGCCAAAGATGAATCCCAGTGTACAAAGTTACAAAGGTAGAGCTCATATCACTGAAGAGTTGGCTCTGGTATGCCTTGTAAATTATTCCCCAAGAAATCTATGTCAAGTTTCTTTTATACTTCTAGGTCCCAACTGTTTCCCAAAAATCATAGAATTTCTCCTGGAACTGAACTGTTTCACTGATATAGATTAAACTGATCTGAACTTGGCTTCTAAAATCCAGTAAAGTTTTAGGCCCCTTGAGGTCAAGACCAGACTCCATCCCATACCAAAAAAAAAAAAAAGTTATCAGCATCCTAACATTTTGATTCAGACAGCAGTGTTGTGACCTCTTCTGGACCACACAGTGTGCTTGACATGCCATTCAATGCAATGCAATCAAAGGATTTTGGAACTCAGACATGTTGAGGCAAAAATCTGCAGGAGATGTTTAATACTAATTCCATAAGCATCTGAGTTAATGAATCACAACTGTAAGAAATTATGATAATCCAGAAGGCATTAGTGACAGATTAGCTTCACAGCTGCCATAAAAGTGCCACAATGCTTACCTAGAATCATGATTAATTCTGGCAATGCATAGTGGCATTATTTGGCAAGGAATGAAGTCAAGCCTATGGCAGCTTGTGCCTGCCAAGACCACACTTGGGGAAAAGAATGCATTGAGGTTTTCTTTCAGACTTCATTTGTCAATCTTTCTGGAATAGATTCTAGCACCTACGTTTGTCCTCTTCATATTTTCCAAGGGAAGTATCCTCTACTAACACTATTATATTAAACAGAGTGAATTATGGCAATTGGAAATGCATGGATGTTATTATTAGACTCCAATTACCATCAACCCTAACCAATGTTTCCTGAGAATGATGGGAGACAGAACCCAATGACATAAGCAGGGACAACCCTAGAGGATTGGATGGTAACAGAAGCTTCTACATTTTGAGACCACAGCCACCACCTACATCTGTTTCTAGCTATATTTTGAACCATCCGAACTATGAGAATAAAGAGTAGACATTCCCATCTTCTTCACCTTCCAGATATGTGAACCTCAACTCCCAGAATGTTCAATACATTGTTGAGAATTTGAAGGTTGACTTCTATATGCCCAAAGGTGTCAATTTGGAGAAGGCTCCAGTGTAAGGGTGACCCAGTCTTGATTCTTGGTTCTGTTTCCAGAAAAGATGCACCTGGCTGAGGTTTTTTACCTGGCTGAAGTTTTTATTCTAGACCTAGCAAGTATATTTCTACAAAACAAAACAAACCTTGGCTTGATTTGCATTTTTGACTGATTAAATTCCATTTTTTTAACCGTTTGCTACTCACCTCAGACTAGAATCTGAGAACTTCATTAACTTAGCACTCATCAGTTGCTGTTAACCTACCAAGGAGAACATGGCATGGAGGTCAAATGGAACTCTCTAAAGTTTAAGCAAACTGCTTTTAAATGCCCAAACAGACCAAAATTATCTCATTGGAATTTAGTTAGCATACACAAATGGAATGTAGAGGGTCTTGTGTCAGCCAAGGGCTGCGAATCCAAAAAGAAAGGAGACAAAAGAATATCACATCCTTTTCAAACCTGTATCCACTTTCAGACTCTTCATCTTTGCCCATCCTTGCCATCCACAATCTGCTGAGACATGCATTTTGCTAAACTATAGAACTGGATGAACAGCATTTTGCAAACGAGAATGTGATGTTTCCGGTTCACTGAGGACATACAGTAAAGCAGATAGTGGGGTAATATTTTGATACCCATTTCTGAAAGTGTGGAACAGATGGAAGGGTAAGAGACAAATTGGCTTTAAGCATTTTGCCCTTTAAACAATCATGACCACTACCCAAACGTAATCAGAGCTCATGTAGTGACAGTGACAACGATGTCCTCAGATTGGATGCTGTGATAGTGGCATGAGGTCAGTTGAGCATGGATGTTTTGCTTCCTAGAATGAATGAAGAATGAGTTAAACAACATGAATATCTTTATTGCTCAGCTTTACCTAAATTCTCAACTGGGCATGTGCCAAATTTGCTGATCAAATTGCCTGCTGGCAAGTGTGTGGAGATTAGTTCATTTGAGTACAGCACCTCCAGGTTTGTCATAGAGCCAAGCAAAATATAGGTTTAATCAAGAGGAAAAAATTAACAAGGTGTCTCAGCAAAAGGGACTGGCCTCTGTTTTGACAGCCAAGGCAGAAACTAGTTCACAACAGAAGGAGAATATTGACCAGTCTGTCTACAGAAACAAATCATCTAATAAATGCAAATGCCCTTAATCGATTTAAAAAAAAGCAGTGTAGCTTTGCATGATCCCAACCCAGACAGACAATCCCTAGTCCTCCGAGTGACCACTTTTATTTGTTTGGGGTTTTTCCGAACTTATCTCAAACGTTTTAATACAACCTTCTCTGAACCGGTGCCCTCCACATGTCTGGATTTCATCTCCCATTATCTCTAGCAAACATGGCTTTCATTTAATATAATTTAAAGTTCGCTTGCTTTCGGAGCTGCTGTTGGTCCTGAGTTTCCTCCAGCAAGCCTTGTTTATGGCATGAGCATCGTATTACATTAGAATTCATTGCTTATGCAATACGTGTGCATCCCATTTGAATCTCATCCTTCTTCTGCATTGCTCTGAGACAAAAGCAACTGGCCATTGAGTAATCACCTTAAGGCAGCTCTGGCCCTGAAAGCTGAATCAATTGATCAGCCAGCATGACAGGCCAAGCAGATCAGTCAAGCCACTGAGCATGCAGATGACAACTGAGGGCCCAGCAAGGTCTCCTTTTGACCTTCCCCTGACCCAGCACCTCTGTTTTGCCCCTGATCGTTTAGTACATAAGGGCTTTCGTTCTCTCATTTTCTTCCCCTCTGACTCTAATTGGACTTCCATACACTTTCTCCTCTTGGTTTTATCTCTATTTTGTTCATTAGTTCTTCAGATGCCAAGGATCCCAGGAGAGAAAGAGAGAGACACCTTTCTCAGTCTACTTCTTCATTTATCACCCTCCTTTTTTAAAATATTTCCCTTGTTCTCAGTGCTTGTTTTGATGATTGATTAAAGACCTTGTTTTCAATGTTTTGATGATTAAAACCTGGAGACTAAAACATAGGAAGAACGACTACAGGAACTAAATAGGGCTAATCTAGAGAAAAGAAGGACTAGGGGGTCACATGATAGCAATATTCCAGTATTTGAAGAGCTGCCACAAAGAAGAGGGGGTCAATTTATTTTCCAAAACAGCAGAAGGCAAGACAAGAAACAATGGATGGGAACTAATCAAGGAAAGAAGCAATTAAGGAGAATTAAGGAGAAACTTCATAACAGTGAGAACAATTAACCAGTGGAACAGCTTGCATTCAGAAGTTGTGGGGGCTTATCACTGGAAGTTTTTAAGAAGAGACCGAATAGCCACTTGTCTCAAATTATACAGAGTCTCCTGCTTGAGCAGGGGGTGGACTAGAAGACCTCCAACGTCCCTTCCAACTGTATTCTGATTGAACTTCAATGCACTCATACAACCCAAGCATGCTGCAGCTTAAATACAAAGGTGCATTGAAATCACATCCAATTTGTCCCTTCATCATCTTGTAACAAATTTATCAATGGGGCCTATTTATCAATTACCTTCAGCTTCCCTCCCCCCCCCCCCGTCCGCCGCCACCATTGATGTTACTGTAAAACGATCGTTTCCTTTTTCTGCAAAGGAATCATGAGCCAAACTGGGCATCTGTCTTTCTTTTTGGAAACAAAGAAAAGAATGAAAAAAAAAAAGACCTTGATTCCATCCCCCACAATTTTACAGGCAACCAAGCTGGATTTCAGAGATGAAGTATGGATGATTAAAAACGTCCCCATTTCTCAGTATCCTAGCAATTACTCATTCCAAACCTAAGGCTTCTCAATTACATAGCCCAATGCAAGCCAATCATTTTTTTTTCCTTGACTGAAACATTGTCTAACTGAAAACAAACTTTTGGTCCCCAAGGCTTAGCATATCTCAGGTCCCTTATGGTATTTAATCAACCAGAAGCTAAATATGTTCAACCCACGATGGCTCATTGGAAAAGGAACCTCTGGGCCTTCACTCCTGATATAATAGCTCTCCATTTTTATCGGGAGAACCCTTTTTTATTTAATGTTGTTGCTCTCCAATGACAAGTTTATCTTTTGAACATTTTTAGTGGATTTCCTCCTAGATATCATGGAAGTTTTCTTTATTTAGGGGGCAGAAATTTCAAGCAGAAGAAGAGGAGGAGGAAGATGAAGGTTATCAGTTATAACCCCAAAGTTGGGATTATTCTTGGCACAGGATTCATGATATAACAGAATAATAGAGTCGGAAGGGATCTTGGAAGTCTTCTAGTCCAACCCCCTGTGAAGCAGGAGACCCTACACCATTTCAGGCAAATGGTTGTCCAATCTCTTCTTAAAACCTCCAGTTATGGAGCACCACATGTTCAGAAAGCATGCTTGTTCCACTGGTTGATTATTCTTACTGTCAGGAAATGAGAGAGCCGAGGTGGCGCAGCAGTTAGGGTGCAGTACTACAGGCCACTTTAGCTGACTGTGTTCAGCAGGTCAGCGGTTCAAATCTCACCGGCTCAAGGTTGACTCAGCCTTCCATCCTTCCGGGGTAGGTAAAATGAGGACCCAGATTGTTGGGAAGTGTCTTGGCGACGTTTGATGACGAATGGGACTTCGTCGAAACGTCGCCAAGACACTTCCAATTTTACGCGGGAGAAAACCCGAACAACCAAAGACCTGCATATATATATATATATATATATATATATATATATATATATATATATATATATACATATACATATACACATACACATTGTTTACTGGTGTACACCGCTTGGAGAGTGCATGCACTTAAAGCGGTATATAAGTCTCATAAATAAATAAATAAATATTTCCTTAGTTCGAGGTTAGTTCTCTTCTTGATTTGTTTCAATCCATTGCTTCTTGTCTTACCTTTCAGTGGAAAATAGGTTGAGCCCCCCCTTCTTTGTGCCAAGCTCTCAAATGTTGGAGCTTTGCTATCATGTCACCTCTAGTCTTTTTTTTTCCACTACCCAATTCCTGCAACTGTTCTTCATATGTTTTAGCCTCCAGTCCCCTAATCATCTTTGTTGCTCTCCTTTGCATTCTTTCTAGAGAATTTTTTTTATATATTGTGGTGACCAAAACAGGATACAGGATTCCAAGTGTGTCTTACCAAGGCACTATAAAATGATACTAACACTTCACATGATCTTGATTCCATTGCTCTATTAATACAGCCTAGGACTATATTGGCTTTTTTGGCAGCTGCAGCACACTGCTGGCTCATATTTAAGTGATTGTCAGCTAAGACTCCAGGATCCTTAAAGTATATTTTAAATACGTTAGAAATATATTTGTCCAAATATTTTTTTCAGGGAATGAATCATTCACTGTCAGAAGGAAATCAAACCCTCACTTCCCCATCCTTTCAATCTTCAGCCATTTGATTTTCCCCCACTTTTCATCATCCAAACTTTCAGCCAATTTCAAGGCAAAATATCAATCCTGTTGTATTCTGAAAAAAAATAAATAAATTCAGAGGTGAGAATTAGCAATTGCAGATGCAATTTCTCCTACCACATTGCCATGCTTCTTGGAGCAAACCTAAACTTTCCTATTGACCACACCAATTTTCCTTCAAAAGAAGAGGTGGATGAAACAGAATTGTTTTGTTGGACCTAGTCAAAGGTCTATCTAGGGCCTAGGCCAGCATTCTGAATCATGCCATGGGCAGTTAGATGCATCAAGAAGCTTATAGGTAGGATATAAGCATCACAGCTTACCTACTACTCCTGCTTGTGGCACCTGATCCTACAGCCTGCTGCTTTGATTCTCAAGAAACTGCACATCTATCAAGATTAGTAATTACAGTGACCTCACCCTTATGGATTTATCAAGTTCTCATTTAAAATCATCTTAAAAAGTGGCCATCAACTCTTAAGGCAAAACTTCCATGGTTTACTATTGATTGCATAAAGCAGTACAGTGTACAACCATTCCTGGATTCCCCTGTGCCATAGAACAGACTTGCCTTGTAGAAATCATAGCCAGTCCTATTCTGAGCATACTTAGCAATGGGGAGAATAGAACCAAACCACCAAAAGGCAAGACAAGAAACAATGGATGGAAACTAATGAAGGAGAGAAGCAACCTAGAACTAAGGAGAAATTTCCTAACAGTGAGACAATGGAATAGCTTGCCTTCAGAAGTTATGGGTGCTTCAAAGGAACTGGACAACCATTTATCTTGGTTGGACTAGAAGATTTCCAAGATCCCTTCCAACCAATGGTGGGATTCAGCCAGTTTGAACCAGTGGCTAATTTTTTGTTGCCCAGGCCCAGAACGGACTTCTGGAAGTGGCATCCACACAGAGAACTGGTTGTTCACGTATTTGAATCCCACCACTGCCTTCAACTCTATTATTATTGGTGCTTCTGTTAGTGGTGAGACAAAGAAAGGTTGATGAAGGCTTGGAGGACAAGGTGGAGGGAGAGAATCTGAACAATGGAACAAGACCTTTCTTCCTTAAGCTTTAATTTCCTCTTTTACACAAATCAAAATAATATCAGAATGCATGTATGTATGTATTTCAATTTATAAGAGCCGTCACTCTCATCAGGATAACTCTGGGTGGCTAAGAGTGGTTTAAATCCAACACTACAACAATAAGTACATAATCAGCAGCCAAGATAAAATGGGATGCCTCTTGAATGGTGTCCGGCCCATTGCTTAAGATCTGGATCTTGCAGCCTGCATGCATTAAGAGTGCTTCTGCTCCCACGTCTTCCCACTGGAGCTTAAAAAGCATGCAGACTTCTGCCTGAGCAGCAAAGCCGCTCCTTTGTTCTCAAAGCTGGTTTAACTATCTCAAGGCTTTCCCAGAGATCTGAAGTCCTACTTTATTCTTTCTCATCCCCCACCCCACCCCTCATCCCCAGCTTCATGCGTTGGAGGTTAAGAAGCACGCTACACTATTCAATAAATCGCTTGGCACAGTGTATGACAAAACAAGAAAATGTAATTCAGATTAAAGTCACCCTCTGGCTAAAGCGATAGTTTATTAAGTAAACAGCAATGCTGCCAATCAAATCTGCTGGCAGTGATCCTTTGACATTAATCTTTGTTGATGTGATTTAAGGTACACCTGGGCCTTTGTTGAGTATCTCCCATAATTTCTTTCCCATCTCTTTGGATCAAGCTGCTGTGCTTGGCGGGGATTGACAAATTCCCCAAGTAATCCCTCAAAAGATTGAAGGAATGCTCCAAGTGCTCCATTAAATTTATTTTCCGTGCTTTAAGAGACCCAAAACTGTGTTCAATAAATAAGCGTTCCCTGTGATTTACTGAAACGCTGGTCTGATTTAAAGTTATGAAGCTGGAGGGGGGCAGAATGTCACCTCTGGGATTTGGAAGACCCAGCATTAGAAGCAAGTCCAGATGTGCTATTTCTGCACGGGGTGGGTTGGGGAATGGGGTGGCAGGGTCGAGAGAGAGGGAGGAAGAGAGAGGAAGGGAGAGAGAGCTCCAATGCAAAAGATTTACCAAAGGACAATGGGAGAACCTTGTTTCCAAAGTTTAACATAAAAGCTCCCCAGTCGTGTTTTTTGTTCTGGCAAAAATTTATTGTCATACCAGTTACTGGGGGAATCATCAAATGCCCCAGTTCTGGACTTTGCCTTTGCACCACTCTTTTGATAAATATGATACTTAGAAATATGCCTCCCTAAAGACAGAAAAGCCATTGAGTTAAAATGAAGTAATCTTTCAGTAAACTCACAGGAATCAGAGCCAGAATGAAATCTGTAAAAAAAGAGAGAGAGAGAGAAAGAGAGAGAGGAGGAGAGAGATAGAGAGAGGGAAGGAGATAAAAAATGGTGGGGGAGGGAGCCTTTGCTCTCAAGCATTTGAGGAGAAGACAGAGATGAAGGACTGTCCTTTCTACACTATTTTTATCTCCAGAGTTAAAAGTGAAGATTTATTTTCAAAAGGGCCTCTGTGTTTGGCTTTTGAACAGATGGAATCTGTTCCTGACTGGTTTTCTGAATACAATACCAGGAACTCATCAAATTTGTGGGTCTCTTTTCCCCACTCCCCCAGGATGGGGGAGGGGGTGGTTTGTCTCTCTTTTACTGCATACTAATCGTTGTAAGATCCACAGTGCTGTATGCTGATTTTTCTCTCCTTCGTCTTCAAATATCCTCCTTTTTCTTCTCCTCCTACTCCTTCTTATTTTCCTTGGAGGAGGAAAATAATAATAATGATAATAATTTTCCCCCACTTCCAACATAAATATATTTTAAGTTCTTAATAAAACTATTGTGTAAATTGGGCTGACTGGACAAAAATCATCCCATGTAGTTTGTGACTGAACAGGAGTCTCCATTCACAATTAGACATTCTATTCCATACACCATGTTGTGTGATGGTCTTCCCCCATATAAGCACCCTTCAGACATGTAGACTTCAGCTCCCAGAATTCTCAGCAAGTCGATGTTGGGTGGAGAATTCTGGGAATGGAATCCATGATTGGATGAGATCAAGGTTAAGGAAGTCTGCTCTGTGTCAAACAAAAACCTACATACCTTCAAATAGAAATGTAAACCACATCGCAGCCTCAGTTCATTGCTGTTAAAACAGGACGTCCATGAAGGTATGTAGAAAGATATGTTGTTATGGCCTGAAGGGAAGGGAGCAGAAATGAAGCCAGATCTTTTTCACTCCAGAAAGCATTCTTTAATACCTCACAGAATGAGGCTCTGTCACTCATGCTTATCTTCTGTGCGTCTAATGGTACTGAAACCCAGAGCTGGATGAGAAAAAGATTACTCAAGATCAACATGTTGACTAATACCCACTGCTCATATTTCCCCTTCTTTCAACCTTGAACAGATGAAAAAAATGACAATCACCCTGTACTTTGGCAATGTGACATTCTCAATCGAGGTTTATCCTATGATTCTGAGATCCAATGTTGCCTTGGATTGTGCTTTGCATTTCATGTGTCCATAGTTTTATGCATGTGTACCAATCTACAATCAGGGGCATTTGCCTTCTATATATAGTCCTTGACTTAAAACCACAATTGAGCCCAACATTTCTGTTGCTAAGTGATTCAGTTGTTCATAAATACAGTCAGTTGCCAAGTGACTGAACTTTGATCACATGGCCATGGGGATGCTACAATGGTTGCAAAGTGTGAATGACAGTCATACGTCACTTTTTTCAGTGCTGTTATAACTTTGAACAGTCACTTCTGTCACCTTCAGCCACCATTTTTTCTGGAAGTACTGTTGCATATCTACAGTATTGCACATCTGCATACATCTCTTCCAGCTATAAGAACTGCTGGATAAGACCTTAAAGAAACAGGCAGCATTCAATGAGTAGCATGAAGCACCACATTGTGGCAAAGCACAGCCACCTTATACAGATCTACTTATCAACTCTACTGTTTGGTGGGGATGGAATAAATCATGCTATTACATCTTATTTTTGCATTCAGAAGGTGTAAAAATGGGCCTTCTTGAGATTCTCAGAGTATCAGGGGATGGGAGAAATAGCTGAGTCCACCTAGCCTAAGGTTGTGTTTCCATACTTGAAGTTCTCCTTTGTCTTATAAGCAGCAACTGTCTCAGAAAAAAGAGAATAGGTCTTACTTGAGTAATGACTGGTGTTATGGAGCAATTTCCCCATCACCACCAGCTTGCATTCTGAAACAGATGCAGAACAAACTGAACCAACTTTATCCTGAGCTTATGGATTGGCTTTGATGACAGAGCACGTCTCCTTCCTTATGAACAGACCACAGTCCTGCCTCCTGCATCGTCTCAATGAGCTTGGATGAAGATAAAAGGGAACTGTCTCTTGCAGCACCTGTATTTGCACTGCTCATTCTTCAGTTTAAGGTAATAAAATCATTTAATACTGTCATTTCTTTCTCTCTCTCTTTTTTCTGGCAAGGACTGTGTTTATGCTGAGTGATACAGAATGAGGCTGACTGACAGTCGCCTGATTAAAACCATAAATCAAAACTGAGGTTGCTTTTAACAGGAAGCAACAAGTAAATCAAGTTTGAAGCTTGGGTTTTGGTGTTTGTGGGCCAGCTGTACTTAAGAAACTGCTGATGGGCACACCATTCCTTAGAACTGCAGCCAAGTTACCGAGAGTGTTCCACTAGTACATAAGCTTGAAAATCAGGAGGGAGGGAGACCAGACACAAGATTTCTCTTGAAACCTCAGCACTTCCAAGCCCTTGGGGCTAAGTAATAAACACTGTGAGAACAGTGGGTGCAGCATCTCAAGACAAGATCAGGAGAAATAGAACAAATGAGGACTTGAGCGTCTTTTATATACCAATTTCAGACAAGGCTCTTTTGATCTCTGCACCTCCATTTTGATTTTTATAATCTTGTTTCATTTTTTTTCCAGCAATGCAATGTTTAGAACCCCTTTTCAGAAGTATTCCTCTCTGGAGGATAATGTCTAACAGGTTCAGTTGGCGTTATTCACGTGAAGTATTAATACCACTCTTCAATGCCTTGGTAAGGCCACACTTGGAATACTGCATCCAGTTTTGGTCACCACGATGTAAAAAAGATGTTGAGACTCTAGAAAGAGTACAGAGAAGAGCAACAAAGATGATTAGGGGACTGGAGGCTAAAACATATAAGGAACGGTTGCGAGAACTGGGTATGTCTAGTTTAACGAAGAGAAGGACAAGGGGGGACATGATAGCAGTATTCCAATATCTCAGGGGCTGCCATAAAGAAGAGGGAATTAAGCTATTTTCCAAAGCACCTGAAGGCAGGACAAGAAGCAACGGGTGGAAACTAATCAAGGAGAGAAGCAACCTAGAACTAAGGAGAAACTTCCTGACAGTGAGAACAATTAATCAGTGGAACAGCTTGCTTCCAGAAGCAGTAAATGCTCCAACACTGGAAGTTTTTAAGAAGAGACTGGACAGCCATTTGTCCGAAATGGTGTAAGGTTTCCTGCCCGAGCAGGGGGTTGGACTAGATGACCTCCAAGGTCCCTTCCAACTTTACTACTACTATTATTATTATTTCTCACATGCCACTGTCCCAGAGGAATTATCCAGCCAGTTAAATCCAGGTCAGGGAAGATACATCTTGTGTCTTGCCATTCCATGTGAAATTGAATAAAAGGCAGGACTTTTTCAACGCTGATGTAAAACATCTATCTGAAGATGGGGGTTGGACAGGCCAACAGGAAGAAAAGGAATATATCAAGGAAGGCAGACCAGCGGGAATATCAGTGGCAACTGTGGGAAGGGGATGGGAAGATCAGTGGGTGGTCTGGCAGGAAGATCCTGGAGAGATAGTGGGATACATCTGAACTGGTTGTGTCTAATTTAGATAACAACATTTTACAACAGTTCTGTTTTCAGAAGCAGAGGCTAAAACAAAAAAAATTAGCTCAAAATGCAGTTGCTGCAAAGAATGGATAAGAAAGCATTGTGGTTTGAGTTTCAGCAAGACATGAAGGCAGACATGAAGAAACAGACTACATCATCCCTTAAATAAGCATGGGTCAGGATGACAAGGAAGTAAAATAACATGGTTAGAGGCAATCCCAACAATTCCTGCTCCAGTGGCTCAGTAGGAATACGATTCAAAAAGAAATGGAAAGTGTCGGATCTACTGGACTGACCCGAGAAGAAAAAATGGACAACTTCTGCTCCTTCCAGTTCTGGGAACTAGTGATTTAGTAACATCTGGAAAGCCACACATTCTATGCCCTCATCTTTGGAACTTTGTCTTAGAGTTTCTAATGGAGAAAAGGAAGTGTAGGCTAGAACTCAGGGAAGAAGTTTAGAATTCAGCAGATGGAAATGTCACCGTTGACAGAACAGAAAAATTACCTCTTGGTTGCGAGGATGGCCAGCTTGGAGTTTACTTTTGTGCTGGTTCATTGGCCAAAAGAGCCAACCACCTTTAAATATAATCTGTACACAGAAACAGTTGTATGAAGAGCATAAAAGCAGCAACAAGGCGCAGTAAATCATCCAAGGGTCAGGTCTATCTGGGAAAAAAAATAATAACACCTTCTCTATATTAGCTTGAAAACTTATGCTCCTCTGCACAGATCAGCTTATGTGTAATCCACCTTAGAGAGAGCTGGCTGCATAAATAGCACTTAAAGTGGGAGTAAATTTCAATTATACCCACTTGGAAGCGCACTTACACTGCGTATTTTCAATATATTATCAGATTAGATGAAATATTAATTAAAATTAATCAACCACAGACTCAGGGCCCCTGTGGGAAGAAGGAACTATAAATACATAGCTTTTAAGAGAGAGAGGAACAATTTCTTTGCTTCTATTTGGCTAATTAATTATTGAAATGTTTCTTTGAGTGGGGAAAGATAAGGGGGTCTGGATAACTCAGATCTTGAGATTTGCCTGCCACAGAATATTTTTTGTCATGACTCTGTGTCTGTGCACATTTTCTTGGCAAAGACAAGGGAAGTCTTTGGGTCTGAAGTCAGTTGCCTTACAGTTTTTCGGTAGGCTTTCTGTTGCAAAAAGTGCCTTCTGCTTTTTTCTACATTATTCTCAAGATGCTAGGAAATCCCTGTTCTGTTTTTCTAGATGAGTGGTGCTTTTGTGCATACTGTACCTGATGGTTGGAAGATGTTCCTGCTGATGATGTGGGTTTTATTTTTCGCCTACACAACTTTCCATTGCTCTGAAGCCTCCTTGTCTGCTTATCTTTCTCGTTCTGAAGTTCTCTTATGGTGTTTTTCTAAGGGAATTTTTTCTTTCTTTCTTTCTTTTTCTCCCTATCATTTTCTTACTAGTGGAAAGTCTGCTTTTTTTTCAGATCAACTGAAGGTTGATGCATTGGTTGTGATAGGAATTGACTGAATGGTTTGATGCCCAAGCCTGAGGTTGTGGGGAGAGAGAGGGAGGGAGGGAGGGAGGGAGGGAGGGAGGGAGGGAGAGAGAGACAGACAGACGGACAGAGGGAGAGACGGAGAGACGGAGAGAGAGAAATGAGAATATAATTTTATTTTGAACATCTCCCTTGGGCAAGTTCATGCTTTCTTCTTGTTTCTCAATGTCCCAAGTTTGAACTTCAGCCTCTGCTGGCACTTACTAACCTGAGAGAGAGGGGGAGAACTTTCATTCCTAAGGCAGGACTAAACTCAGTTTCCTAATATCTAGATTGGTGCTTTTAGCATTAGACCAAACTGGCTCTTTTCCTAAGGATATACGGTAATTGATTGGGGGAACTCAAGGAGACTGTAGACCCATGGAAAACTCATTGCACAATGAAAGATAGAACATTTACACCGAGTCTTCAGATACCTTGTAACTTTAAGGAGAGCAGAAATAGCACAGAGCACCTAAATGAATTCCAATTCTTTTGGTAGAAAAAGCTTTCAGGAAATTGACCTTGTAGAAAGCAAAACTGGAAGGAGAAATGGTATGTGTGCCTCTCAAACATAATGGTGTACACAACACATACTCACCTGGAGGTAGGAATGGATGAATTGTATCCATTTCAGCCTTTCTCGCTTTCCCTACTTTTATATTCATTTCATTTCTGCATCTGTCTGAAATTGCTTTTACAAAAAAAAAATTGCATGCAAATTATATTAATAGAGTTTTGTAATAGGGAACTCCTTGTTCTTGGTCTTTCTGTCATTATTCCAAACAACAGTTAAAATCCACTCTCTTGACATTTTTATAGAGACAGCCTGCATCCCAAGATAAAATTAGTATCATGAAAATCTAAGTAACGCACACCAGTCCGAAAATTAATTACAGTATTTTGTACC